TGTTGCTGGGTTTATGGGTCTTTAGGATTAGCGTGATTTTGAATGTTTCTTTCTCTGAATCGATGTTTTGATCAAACCCTAAGAATTTGGGTGTCTTAGGTTGCGACAAAGTCTGTAATACCCAACTACATTTCTGTCTTCTTCCATATCCCTAGATGATCATGCCAATGTACACACAGATCACACTTTCGTGTATATATATGCGACTACTTTACTAAGTAGTCTTTAACTAGAATTACTGCTTTTTGGATGAATCTAATGCCTCTGTTATCGGGTTAATGGTAAAGTTTTAGTCTTTTACGGATGTTATTTCCAATTGCGTTTCTTCAGAATTTGGTCTGTTACAGTCTTATGTTCTATGTTATTGGGTTATTGGTAAAGTTTTAGTTTTTTACGCTTGTATGTATATTTTGAATGCAGTAATTGTCTTGTAAGTCTTGTAGGTTCTCTTTAATGAATCATTCTTTAGTCATTTCGTGCAAGACCATTGATTGTTGTGTGCCTTATTTCCATTGTTGTTCTCAGGAAACAATGGTTTTCATGTTTAGCTTCCACTGTAATCCTGCTTTGTGCCTGTACTGTAATTCAAGCCTATTCATTTTCATGTTGAATACTGTGTTTGAAATTTCAGATGAGCTCCAGGAGATTGACCAGGAGACAATTGATTCTGGATGATGATGAAAATGAAGATACAATTTACAGTTTCAAGGTCCTTTTACCTAACCGCACTAGTGTGGACCTCACACTTAGTAACCCAGGACGTGAGATGCCAATGGAGGCTTTTGTCAACCTGGTCAAGGAGGGGTACGATAAATCACGGAAAGAGTGCGTGTTGATGAGTAAGAGGACGAGGGTTGACTGGAACTTGGGCGGAAAGTTTATAGTAGAATCAGATAGTGAAAAGATGAAAGGAATGGTTCGCTTTGCTGCATTTAAGCCCAATTTGTGCCATATTATACGTCTTGATGTGAGTTTTTTTTTACCTCTTTTTTTCTTTGTTCACCTGTTCCAGTTTTCAAGAGAATAACCAAACGGAACTTAGATATGGCCCTGAACTATTTBTTTCTTCTTGTTTTCTGATGTTCTCTGTCTGAACGTTTATCTCTGGATCAGGACGGTTCTGGTATAACTTCCACCATGTATGAGGTCAGCATTACTAKTCTGAAACATATACATTTGCTATATATTTCTCCCCTTATGTTGGTCTGTAATGGTTCAATCTTGGTTTGCAGAACTTATGGGATTTGACACCAGATACCGACCTGCTAAAAGAACTACCTGAAAATTATAGCTTTGAGACAGCTCTTGCGGATCTCATAGTAAGTGTTTCAGTAAAATTACCTGAAAAGATAGAATGCCTAATGGAAAATTTATGTGTTTTGTGTTGCTTCAAAAATGCACTTTGTGCCTTGTTCTAAACGGATGCACAACATCTTGTCCTTGTTGTGTAAACTGACGTACATTATTTGACTTTGATTTTCTGAAAGTTTTACATGAAACTTGTCTTCTACGATTGTCCTTGCGGATTTGGTGTAGCTCTCTGGATAATGCCCAAAGGAAACAAGGAAAGGAAATATATTTCCTCTGCATTGTGTTTGCAACCAGAATTTATGGTCTATCTAGAGATTCACATTGTCGTATTTGCTTGTTTGATATCTGAAATTAAATACATACTCCATTAAGCATGAATTTTTTTGGCAAATAAATTAACTTACTATTTTGACATTACTTCTCTGGATCTGTTGATGAAATTGGGTTTTGCATATGTTTACTTTCTCGTTTATTTATGATGCTTAATTCACAGGACAATTCCTTGCAAGCTGTATGGCATTGTTCTCAAGGAGATCGAAGACTTGTTAGGTTTGTACTTGTCATAAGATTACCAAAAATGAACGTGATGTTTCAATTCACGTGATTACTTTTGCAGTGTGGATGTTTCTGGTGATCGGATTTCAGTCTTTGATACTGGGAGTGGAATGGATAGTAGTGAGAAAAATTCAATTGATAAATGGTGAGATTTTTTTCTTCATTTCATTCAAATGCTCACAAAACATAGAAGATATTGGTAATCCATATGAATACTAGGGACGATTAGTGGGTTATGATTATGAACTGATAAATTGTTCTATAGAAAATATAACTTGATATATTTTATGTATTGGGATTGATATTGCAATCAAGTGTTGTTTGCTCAGTTTGATACTGCAGGGTTGATTTGTTGGTGTTTAGTTGAATGTTCTTCACGTTTGTTTTAAATTTGTGCAGGGGAAAAATAGGGGCCTCATTACATAGATCTCAAAAAACCCGTGGTATTGGAGGCAATCCACCATACCTTAAGGTAATTCACTAGTCGCAAATAACTTACAGTTTATAAATTTTGTGTTTGAAACATTTATTTGTTGGATAATTAAGCACCTTTGGTCAAAGTATGTCAGTTTGGACTGTTCTTTCTGTATAACTGCCTTCTATTTTACTGATCCAAAGAAGATTCACTCTTTTCTTTTTATATGTAGCCATTCTTTGGGATGTTTGGATATGGAGGTCCTTATGCTTGTATGTTCTTGGGAAGGTGCAACTTCAGCTTCTGTTTACCCAACCTATGATTTTGTATGCATTATCTTGTTGCGATTAACTCTCTTCCCTGATTAGGCGTACTTTGGTGTCTTCTAAGACGAAAGAGTCCAAAAAAGTATTTACTTTGCAATTCGAGAAAGAAGCCTTGATTGACAATCGGTCAATCTCGGGAAAACACTGGAAGGTAGTATGATTCATTTTTTTTTGTAAATTTTGCTCCTTTTTAACATTTTTGTTATCAATGTTTCCTAAACACTGAATTTATTGTATAGACTGCTGGAGGCATGAGGGACCCCTCGGAGGAGGAAATTAAGTTATCACCTCATGGAAGTTTCACAAAGGTTCATCCTTTTTAAAATCTCCTGCCCTTGTTCCCATATGAATAATATAATCCTCTAAGTACTGTTAGAGATGATGAAAAGAATGCAATCAATAATATTTTCCTCTGAAATAGTTTCTACCCATAGATCCTTAACCTTTGGATTCATTTTTGTTGTGAGTATTTCACTTTTTTGGGACAAACTTTTTTGTTTCTGAACTAGTTTGATTTCCTGAATTTTATCGCTTTTAATCAGGATTATGTATGTTGTTAGTTTGTTACTAATATTGTCAATCTTGGATTATTCTGGAAGTATTATGTGTGTGCTAGAGATTCTACACAACTGAATGTTACTCTAATGTTTGATTTTCATCTTTCCAGATTTATTCTCATGAAAGTGCAAGCTATGATCTGTTTTCAACTGCTTATCTGAAACTCCTGGTTTATATTCTTTGTAGGTTGAGATATTTGAATCAGAATTTGATATCTCAAAAATATATCAACTCCAGTGCAGGCTTAAAGATATTTACTTTCCTTACATCCAGGTATTCTTAGGCTGTTAATAATACGGTACATCATAATCCATGTATATTTCCCGGATTTTTATTGTTGGACTTTTTAGTTCCTAAAACACGTTAACCTTCACCAGAATACATTACTGTTTTACTTTGGTCCAATGATGTCTAAAGTTGAAACTGTGCTTGAAATAGAAAACAATGGAGTAATTTCTGTTTGCTAATATATGTTCTGCCTTTTGACCATTTTCTTGGTTCTAACAAAATGTTACACTGTTCTTTTAATTTGCTTTATCAATCTGTAGTGTGATGAACTCTCCAAAAATGGGAGGACTGAAAGGCCTGTAGAGTTTCAGGTTTGTTAATACTAAAATTGTGTTCCTCATTTAATATTACCAAGAGCATCATTTGTAGCTAAATAACTATGATTTAGGTTTGATGTTACCATTTCAAGATAAATTACTTCAAATGTTGTTTGCTATACTCTTTCACTTTTCTAGGTCAATGGAGAAGACTTAGCTGAGATAGCAGGTGGAGAGGTAGCCATTACCAACCTAAATTCCAAGGGTGAAGAATTTTCGTTTCAGATTCGGTTCACTTTTACTGGTGAGAAAAGAGAAGGTAAAAAGTCTTTATTCGGCTTCTTTTGCTTCAGTATTCAAACATATGGTTGGTATCTTCTAGTGAAGTGATATTTTGTTTCCTATGAATTGGAGAATTTGCTTAAGTTCCCCATAATAAAACTTCAGTTATGATCGTGTTTGTAGGCAGCAAATACATACATTATTTTCTTTCACTGGAATTCTTAGAGATCCTGTATCATGTGTGTGCAGAGGAACACTGAAATGCCCTCCTAACACAAAAACACAAAATTCGCAATCCCAAAAGTTCATCTCTTTGTTTGGAGTCTGATTATATATTTGTTTTCCAGGGACACCCCAAGAGGCAAATGCTCGCCTTAAGTTTGTGTATTTTCCAATCGTCCAGGTATGACAATCCTCTTTGAAGAAGCAAATGTTACCTTTGGGTTACCTTCTTGCTCTGAACACGTTTGAAGCTCTGCAGGGAAAAGAAAGCATTGAGAAAATTTTGGAGAGCTTAGAGGAGGAAGGATGCAAAGTTTCCGAAAGCTTCCAGTCTTTTGGTCGTGTTTCAATAAGAAGGCTCGGTCGTTTACTTCCAGAAGTCCGTTGGGTTAGTCTTCTTTTCAGCATTATTATGCTAATTATGGGACATAGGATTTTCTTTGAATGTACTTGAAAACAAGAACATAAATTCTTGCTTTGTTTTTGTTACCAATAAATATGTGTAGGATTCAATACCGTTTATGAAAAGAGGAAACATTGCATCTACTTTGCAGAAGGGTTGCCAAAGAGTAAAGTGCTTTGTCGGTAGGAACTGCTAATACATAGTCAGTTGTATGTATACGTCTGTTTTATTATTGTTTTATGAATGTACACTCTTGGTGGTTGTAGATTTGGATGCTGGTTTTAGCCCAACGCCCTCCAAAGTGAGCTAAACACTATCTTAGATTATTTACAGTATTTAGTTCATTATCATCTGATCACAGAACATGCTTTTCACAGACCGACCTTGCAAGCCAAAATCCTTTCTCAGTGGCTCTAAGAAATTTTGGTAGTAAGGAGAAGGATAATGGTAATTTAAAGTCCTTTTGCAATCATATTTTTCCTCTTCTTTTGGTAGATTATAATGTATTCGTTTTTTACAGATGTCAAAATTGTGGTTCATAGAGAAGGAAAACCACTAGTACAAACGCAACTGGAGCAGAAATATCAGGATTGGGTTATGAAGATGCATGATACCCATGATGAAGAAGCTACATTGGGTGAAGATGAACCTATTCTCATTGTTGGATCCTTGGATAAAAAGGCTCTTGGAATATTGCGTGATGGTATGTATTAGATTATTGTGGAAGATAAAGGAACTTTGTCTGGTTTTTGCCTCAAAATGCATGTTTTCTAAGCATTTTCGTATATCCAGAATTTTTTACTAACATTTATGTTGTAGAAACATATTTGAGGATTTTGTTAATGGAACCCTTTTCTATGTTTTCAAGTTTGTATCCTTGTCTGAATTGGGTACTCATACCTCTAATGCTTTTGAGCTGTAGCTGTGAGGGTGCACAAGGTAGTTACAAGAAAAGGAATGTTGTGGAAACGTGGTCAGAAGATAAAGATTCTGAAAGGAGCTTGTGCTGGGGTTCACAATAACAATGTCTACGCTACCATAGACTATTTCTTAATAGAGGGGTTCGAGGATGAAGCAGGCGGTTAGTACCATCTCCACCATTATTTTTACACTACAAATAGAACCATGTTTTGTAGCCGTTCTGGCTTGATATGTCTTTTGTTTTTCTCTGTCTCTTGAGCAGGTGATACTCGGATTTTATGCAGGTGATCTTGTTTTCTTTTCTTTTGACTACTTCCGAATAGTCATTGCTAGTTCTGTATCATAGAGCTTTATTGTAGGCCTATAAATCACCCTGAGAAAGAGAGATGCACGCTTTCAATCATCGATGGCATTTCGACACTGGAACTTCGGAGTTCTTTATCTTTACCGATCACTATCATTGATTCTGGAAAGGTCAATCACTTAATAATTACCATCTCTTTTATTATTTTTTTTTATTTTCCTCTTCTATATACAACTAATGATTTCAATCTCATAAATGTTTTTGTACAGTGCGAACATGTAGATGCGGAAGAATGGGCTAGAAAACTTGAGCAGCAACAGGAAAAGGCACCGTCAAAAATTGATTTGCTGGATGAGAGAGATTGCAGAGAATTGAACATTGATGGGGTAGGAACATTTCATTATCTAGTATAAACTATAGAGTCAGGTTAAGTAAGAGTTTGATGTCAACTGCCTATGTGTGTAAACATATATATCGAGCAACAAACACCTATAGAGTCTTAAGTTAAATAAGAGTTTGATTGTTGCAACAAAACTAATTACATGTCTTTTCAAGCTTATTATTACAGATAGTAACGTTTTATCTATCAATATGTTACAGAAGTTACCTGTTGGTGATTCTGTGCGTGCTGGTCGGACTCCCCCGCAACAGATTGTTGCAGTTGTCCGACCTGCATGCTTCACATCTTCAACACCGTCAAAGAAGTTGGACCAGAAACATATTGTTAAGATGACTGAGGAAGAAATGGTCATGGTAGTAAAATTGCTAGACACGAATATGAAATCGAGCGATAAGAATGTCAAACCTGTGTGTTCACAGCGCTTGTTTCCTACATCCCGTAAAGGGATTAATGGTCTTTACATCTTTGCACTTGGGTCCAAGTTTCCAAACCTTTTCAAGAAAGCTGGCACTTACAACTTTTATTTCTCTATTGTAAGTAACTTTCTACGCCCCTTCTTTTCTGTATCTGAACATATATTTTAAGGATTGTTAGATGAATTTTCAAGTAATCATATAATTAATTTTCCAAGAAATTTACCTTCAGGGAGACTCGATTAAGTGCAAAAAAAGGGTGGTAGTTAGACCTTCTTCAAAGGCAGCTAGGTGGAAACTTGACGATAATCTGGAGTCCCTGCCGTTCAATGTCAGGTATGACTCATAAACTCATCAGAAACAGCATATTTATGCGTCAAACCTTTCTCACTTTCCTTCACTTTAAATCTTGGATCGTAGAACTTGATCAATATAATGGTGTTTGTACAGGGTGGGTTCTTCTCTTCCACCTTTCCACATTGCTTGCTTTGATGAGTATGAAAACCGGGTACTGTTCAATTATGTTCCAAGCCTGGAAGTTGAATTGGAAGCTAACCCTGGATTCCAAGTCAAGATTGATAAATTTGAGGCCAGCCTGAAAGATGGTGGATCAGTTCTCGAAGTTGAGGTATATCTGCTACTTTTGTGGTTTAAGCATTGACGTTATGATTATATTTTGGTCAGTGTTAAGTGATGACAGATACTAAATACAGTCAGTAGTGTAGGCAGTTGAACATTACCATTCACAGTGGTTATCTTTTTGGAATTACTCTAACAAAATATCGTGATTTTCTGAATCTAATTCAGAATATGCTTGTTGAGACTGATGAGTTAGACCAGATCAGACCAAATTATGAAGCAACCTTAGAGATACACGCAAAGGACAAACCTTTTTCTGTCTCGGTTGCTTGTAAAGGTAAGCGTCAATTCTATAGTATTAGTCTGGATAAGTCTTTCTGCAAATGCTTATCTTAAAATTCACAAGACTAATCAAAGATATACTTACACCCAAAACGTGATAAGAGCCGAAGTGTATTGTTCAGTTATAGTTCTCTAACTTACAAAGCTTTCTATAATTTCTGCACTTTTTATGGAACTGAGAAAATTTATAGCTTCTGAAAGTTATGTAATTAGGGAGTGTAGTCTATGCTTTGTATCTATTTTTAAAATTTACAGTGTGAGGACATGAAGAATGACCTAATAACATTTATAATAGGTAGAAATTATTTTCCTTAACAACTTTTTTTTGGTTTCAGTGAATCCCGGGCCTGTGGAACGTGTTGCAGTGAATAATCCGAAGGCTTTGGAAAATCTGCTTCCAGGTTCTACTGTTGAAAATTTTATACTGGAGGTATGTAATGTAGGGTATGCACGTTGTTATACAGTAATAAATATTTAATTCAATTGAAGCTGACCATAATTTTGATGCAGATGTTCGATGGGTACAATAACCATGTTGCAGAAGGGACAGATGTTCTAATTCATATTGATGGCTATCGTATCGAAGAGTGGATGGGGGTCAACCGTAAGGTGTGAGAAACTTATCCTTGTAAAGTATAGGATTCTTTGACTGACTTACTGAGCGAATCTATTAGTATACCCCGCCTTCTCGCCATTGTAACACTCTGTGGATGACAAAGTTTCTTAGATTGGGGTTTGGTTTATTTGTTCTTACAGTTTGTTGATCATGATAGGTTGATGGTCGTGGCTGCATTGATCTCTCCGGCATTCTGAAAGTCACAGAAGGCTATGGGAAATTTGGTAACATGATCTCTTCAATCTGTACAGTTATCTGGTGCCATTCTTTTTTACAATGATTTTCTGATTGTATTTTCTCTACAGTATCACTCTCTATTATGTCTGGTAAAGAAGAGATCTTCAGGAAAGAGTCTCAAATCGAGGAACGTGAGCTAAGACTTGTAACAGAGGTAAATATTCTTTGTCGCAGTCTGGTGTAGTTTCTTTGGTCATAGTTTGTCACGAACCTGCCCCTCTCCCTACACACCTTGATATCTCATCCTAAAATTGTTTGTTTTGATCAGCTGCCCTTGTGCTGTGCTGCTGGTTCAAATCTTGCAAACCTCGTCTTCAAAGTGACAGATTCCGATGGTTCTACGGACACTAGTATCCATCACGACGAAACATCTGGGCGCTTCCATACCATGTGCATTGAATCAGATTCAAGCAACATTCAGAGTGCAGTAAGATATGCCTTTGTTCACGGGTCCTGCACAGTTCCTACTCTATCCTTACCAGAGAAGGATGGTGTCTTTTCTTTCAAGGCGTCTCATTCTCGATATCCTGAGCTTCATGTGAACTTAGAGGTAGTAATTTGTGAATTGGGTTATATATTGCAATATGTGTAGTTCTTTTCTACTTTTTCCTGATTCCAGTTGATGCTTGTGTTACTTTATTTTTTATCACACTGATTCCCTTGTATTTGGTTTTCAGATTCCGCTAACGCCTGCGCCAACTTTTGAACGAGAGGATATTGGGTGTTCAACACCTTATTCAAAGACAACAACACCACCTCAATCAGGGATGGCTTCAACCTCAAATCCAAGGGTGACTCCAACTTTCAATTCAGGGTTGGAACAAACCCCATGTTCACAGTTTGGAGTTTTGTCTGTCAGAGCATCGTCATTGGCTCTCAGTAGTCAAACTGGCGTGATTGTAACACACTACACTGAGGTAGGATTACCACCATTTAAGCCACAACTATTGATCTTGATGTTTCATTGTGCCTCTGTGAAAGCAAGACAAATTCTAGAATGATCTAACTTAGCTCCTTTTTTTTTGTTGCAGAGTTTAAATAAAAAAGTTCGTTCATATGGCGAACGCAAAGAGGAAGTAAGTAAGCGCCTCAAATGTTTGGAGGCTGGACGGGAACATGCTGAGCAAGAGTTGAGAACTTTGCAAGGTAACAATTATTTGTCACTCTTTTGCTGAATTTTGATACTCCTTTTTCACAATTGTTGTAACACTTTCCCGTTTATATGAGTTTCATCTCAGCTTCTCTGGAACCTATCGCTGCGGCGTTCCCAGAATGCCTATCCACGAGAGAGTCAAGGATGAAACAAATAGAAGAGAAGCATCAGGACACAGCAGCATCGATTTTCTGTTGTTTGTACAGAAAGGCTCCACCTCCACAGTCTCTGATTCTGTCCAAGAGAGGAGTGTTTGGCATTGTAGCCCTACTCGGTTCAGTTGCCTCGACCTCACTAAGCAGGTGACATCAATATATAGCCATAGTTTTTCTGACAGATCATAGTGTCTACAGGTTGGGCAAAACTTCAATTTCTTAAGTTATTTGATGTGACAGGGTATTGTCTGTATATTTGGGGAAAGACAATATGCTTGCATTGGTATGCAATTCATCAGAATTTGGGCTGAATAGTTCTGAGCATTCGAGGCTTCAATCCGAAGCAGCTAGACTCAAGCGGACTATAGCGGATCGCTTTCTTATTCTCTGTCTCGAGGCATATAGGTAATTTTGTACTATTCGTCTGTTTTTTGGATTTGTTACTAATCCTTAATGTTGATTAGCCAAATGCTCTTTGGTGTTGTAATGCAGACCTTGGAGCGGTGGACTTGTCGAAAATGATCCACAGAAAAAGTTAGCCATGGAGAACCCTTACCTATCCAATGGAGATCCTATACCGGGGTTTAAAGGTTACGCCGTAAACATGATTGATCTGGCATCAGAAGAGCTAAGCATCCAAACAAACACAGGTTGCGGGATTAGAGAGACACTTTTCTATGGACTTTTTGGAGATTTACAGGTATACGAGACCGGAGAGCATCTTCAAGCAGCCCTTTCTCACATCAATGGTGAAGCTGCTGTCTCTCTAGATGGTGTGATCTCAAAAGAAAACGGATTCATATATTGCGGATCCTGGTACATGCTCTTTCTCTTTATCCTTGAAACCGTTTCAGTTATTTGGTTTGGAACTTGAAAGCTGGAGGCTAAGAAACTTTCCAGATTTTGCTTTTCATCTGTGTCTATGGTTATTGTGACAGTTTGATGATATTATATGCTTTCTGTGTTTTGGTTTGTCAGCACACCGGAGATTCATTTTCCGATAACAGTAACAGAGAGGCAAGAGAAGGCTCTTATAAAGATAGAGGTAACAAGAGACAGAAAGAGAAAGGCGGAGGAGATGATCGGTGAGGAGAATGTTTCGCTGAAGAAGCTCGAGAAGAAGCTGAAGAAGACAACAGCAAAATGCCAACGTTTTGCAGCTATGACAGAACTAGCAAGATATGGACAGTAGTTTCGGTGTGTCGTTAATTTTAGTTGTGAAACTTAAAAACTTGTTGTGGTTAGGAGAGGGGTCTTGTGTTGTAAATATGATCTGCATTGCTTGATTCACTCTGTATCGCTTTTAGTTCAAGTCTATGTTAAAAAGATTTGTTTTTGTTAAAGCATGTTCATTGTTCGTAATACTTCTTATTTTCTACAGATAAATATGTCTTAATGCAATCTTCTTAACAAGGCGTTAAAAATAATGTGCCTTGATAAATTGTTTAGTTCTAAAAGAGTGATGTGTAATTCATTAATTTGATATAACAATAACATTAAAGATTTATGTGTGTTTTTACAGAGAAATTTAGTGGTCAAATACTTAAATAGCAAAAGATTCTTTGCAATTTAGTAAAAGAGTAACAATAAAAATCATGGTGCATATGGGTAAATATTAAAAGACATCATTCTGCGAAAATCGAAGGTAAACGGAAATGAATCTTATTTTCCAAACCCTAGAAACTGTTCACTTGATCTTGTAATAAAGTCCATATCTTGGTCTCTCTTATTTGGAAAATATAATTTAGTCTCTTTGGTAGGTAGGTTAGCTTGTGTTACTATGTCTTTGCGTTTCAGATGAGTAAGAAGAGACCACTCGCGCAAGTATTGTTTGATGATGATGGTGGATACAAGTTTTATAGCCTCAAGGTTCTTTTGCCAAATAGCACAAGTGTGACACTCACACTAACCAATCCCGGAACGTGAAATGTCGTTGAAGAGTTTCGTTGATTTGGTGAAAAAAGAGTATGATAAATCTCGGAAAAACCTTGACTTGTCTGGTAAGAAGAGAAAGATGGTTGGTTGACTGGAATCTGGCTGCTAAATCCTATCTCGATTTTAAAGGAACGGTTCGAGTTAACAAGTTTAAACCTGATCTGTGTAACATAATACGTCATTATGAATCAGATTCGGCTAATTCGTAATGCATTATCCCAAGTCATGTTACTGCTATCAGCTAACATTTTCTATGTTTCACAAGTAGACATCATTTTTATCATCTACGCTGTCCACCCAGAATGCCAGAATCAGAACCTGTAAGTAATGAAAAACATGACAGATTTTTGTATTTATGATTACTGATGCAAAAGCAAAGCACAAGCGGTTTCAGAAAACATGACCATTAGTACATTTATCATGTATCTCACATGCGCACTAGAAAACTAACATTCATTTCAACCTTTCTAAAGTAAGAAGCATACTTCATGGAAATCAAATTTCGGAATTTTAACAATAACAAGGATTTCAGGTTACGCTAATACAAGAATCATTCACAATGCAGACAGTTGATATCTATGTTCTTGAATCTTTTAACTAGTTACTACAGACTCATGGTAAAATTCATATTAACACACACAAAATAGCTACTAGAAACTCAGGGAGGGTAGACATTAGAGAGCCCTACAAAATCAACCACACAGAGACAAACATAAAAAAGAATTGAGTTGTTCGTACCAGCTTGTAGTCTACAAAGACCAAGGCATGACAAGAAGCCAAAATTTCCGTTGTGCGAACAGGAACCTTGCTCATATCAGTCTCTGCTTCTTCACCATCAGACAAACCCCCAACTCCTCGGAATTCCTATGTAGCAGCAATGAAAAAGAAAATACCCTTTCTTTTTTTGTTTTAGTTGCTTGTATCCCTTGGACAAAGATTTGGCTCTTGGAAAATCTTTGTGTCCTCGGGCTTTTAGCTTAATA